CATATGAAAAATATATGAATTGATCGACAAAGAGGCGTAAATTTCTATTTCCAAATTTGGAAAGATCCCTGACTGTACTATGCCAATTTTCAACATAGTAATCATTGAAATTAACAAGGTAAGATTGAATGCTTCAAGAAATGGATGGTTATTGTCCTTCCAATAAAAATAATTAGAGAGAAATGCTAATGTAATTTTTATCATAATTTTTTCTTTCCCATCTTAAGGCGAATGTCCATAATCTGAAAATTGTATCTACATATTGATCACAAGATCCTGATCGAAAGATTGTGCTGTATACATCTAGAGCAGCAGGTATTAAATTATCTAAAAGATCTATTAAAGTTTGATATTCAATATCTTTACAAACTGGTCCAAATTTTTTAAATATTTCTTCTGCAATTTCAAGCCATGCATATCTCGCAAGTTCTAAAAGCAAATTGATTTTCCAAGGTTTGGGTTTTTGTGCTAATACTTTGTCCAAAAATTGATTTGAACATTTTTTCAAAAAAATTCCAATGAACTAATATAATATGTTTTCTCATATTCAATGATACATGTAATGGACCAAGAATCGGGACAAAATTATTTAAAATGTCAGGTATCTCTGGTGATATATCTTGACCTTCTTTTTGTTTGCGAAGCAATGTTATTGCTTTTCTTATAAATAACTGGCCTGGAAAATCAGCAACAATTGGTATAGATATTTTTTGAGGTAAGCAATTAACAAAGGAATGTCTGTAATCATTTTGATAGCATTTAAATGATTGTTTAAATTTTTAAGATTTAATTCTTTCATGTTAACTAAGTGACAATTCACCATCGATCTATCATTACGATGTTGCTCTATGGAATCATCATATGAATGAACAGTTAAAAGTTTGATTCTATCAAACTGATTCATAGTAATCAAATTATTACTTAGCCAATTATATTTTTTTATATTGTAACTTTTACTTAATGAGTCAAAATATATATCCACTAAATACTTATTAATCCTCCAATCTTCAATATTTTCAGGATTATGGATTGATATATTATTATTTATTGCTGGTATAGAAGAACTATTCTCTATAGTTTTAGCAACACATGTTGCCATATGATGTGCAGATGATAGAGTTATTGTACCCGGATTTCTGTAACTATGTATTGAATGATAATCATCAATGTTGAAACAAAATAATTTATGTTTATTTTCTTCAAAGTATTGATGTATTTTTTTAAATGATTATCTACTATTTTTCTTTTATATCTCTCCACCATTTTATAGGATACTGAAATACCAAGTCTTGACATTATATCAATGGCTTCAGAAGTTGTACCACATGAATATAAGTAAAGTCCAACTTCTAATTGAAGAGAATTATTAAATTTATTTCTTAGACCAGATAATAAATAACAAAGCCCAACAGGAGATTTTTGCAATTTTCTATATTACTATCAGGCACATTGGATGGAAGAAAAATATCAACCAATTCATCAAAAAATCCTTTCAATTGCAGCTCATTTTCTTCAATTATATTCTGGAACTTTTTAGGTCTAATTCTATTTCCAATAGTAATTGCCTTTGTCTTTTATACAAAGTTTTTGACAATAATTTAATTTTTTCTTTTAAGTTTTTAATACTAATTTTTTCATATTCTCTTATATTTTTTTGCATTTCATTTATTTTATTTATGAAAAGGTCAAAATTATCTTTAAATAAAGATACCGTATCATCATAGTATTCAACATTTATATTGGACCAATGATCAAAATCTAATTCATTATTATTATTTGGATTTTCCAAAAAATGAGATAATCTAAATTCTGTACGGTCATCATCTTCAATATGATGAATTATATCAAACTCCTCTAATTTTCTTTTCTTATTGTTATTTTTATTTCTACCTGCTTCTACAATTAATAAATAATGTGAATAACAAAGTTGATCATCGATTTGAAGGTAATTATAATTTGGAAATGTATCAGCACTTGTAGCCTTTCTTTTAGCATATTCAGTAAATTTCTTAAATTTATATTTATTGGGATCATTTTTATCACAACTTTTAACTTTGCATGGACCATTATTTGCATTCATTTTGGCAATTAAAAATGATTTGATTGTTAAAATTTTGATTTAAGTTAATTTTATTTTGATTTAATTTCAAACTACAAGTTCTATATATATGAAAAAAATATTATCAATGTTAAAAATAAACAAACACAGCCAAATGTTTTTTATAATCTTTGATCGGCCATGATTTATTTCTATTAGTTTTTTCTTTTTTTTGCAACCAATTAGAAATTTTGTATTGCGTGATATTTCAGATATAATTGTCACAAAATTTAACCAATGAAATTCTAAGAAATAGGTTGTCCATTATGCTATATAAGGCAGGTGAAGCAAAATTAATGATCAGCAGTAAGGATGTGTGTTACTTTTGGGTGTCATTGTATTTATAACCAGAATATGCTCTTAATTTTATGAAATTTCTAGTTTCTGATTTTTTTTTACTTTGCATTCAAAATTATACAGACTTTTTTGGATGGCCAAAATGTCAAAATAGTTTTGACTTTTTGATAAAATTTCAATAAAGTCAAAATGGTTTTGGATAGTCGAAATGATTTTATTGGTCAATTAAGTTAAAATTTTTATTGTATCAATTTAATAAATCAATAAATCCCTATAGAAAATTTACATATGGAAATTATGTATATTTTGTAATTTTTTACTACTAATAAATGATTCTTTAAAAAAGTATGGAATCATTCGGAATTGTGCATTTTTTCGGATCATGAAAAATCAATAAAATTTACAGTTACTGGAAAAAAGTATCGCTTCACCTGATGATCAGTGAAAATAATTGAATAACTCCTGTGATATAAAAAGTCATTATTTTACTAATCAAGTCGATGTTGTGTAATAACAAAAAAATCTTTTTCATAATGAATTCTATAACATACTCAAGTTCCACAACATTCAATTAATTATTGGTAATTTTATGATCTTTAAAAGACAAAAAAAAAATTTCCGGAAATTTTCCAAAAAACTTTAGATTAGAGCCAACTTTAGATGTCATGTTTTAACACATTTTGAGAGCTTAGTAAATGTTGTTTCTTTTATCTTCAAAGGGATACTTATAAAGCCTCGCAATTAATTGTCAAATATTGGCCAAGTATCGAACTGAAACGTAAAAATAATTTTTAAAAAGTTTACTAGCTATTTGCACAATATTTTACATATTAACTCGTTATAAAATATACACTAAAAGAATCAAAAAAAGATAGAGAATTTGATTATTTATTAGTATTTTTATTTAAATTAATCGTAATATAACTTAATCTTCAAATTATTATTATTATTTGTTTTATTCCCATATTGGTTTCAGTGGGAAAATCACTGGAACTGAAACACTGGAACACTGGAACCATAATTAAAATTTTCTAATACTGTTCCATCTATTGGTAAACAATTAATTAATTGTGAAAACTTTGCAAACTATTAATCCAGATAAATTGGAATCAGTAAATTCATATTTAGAAGTGAGACAAAAAAGAATTGAATCAAGATTAAATAATAGAATAGAAATTAAAGTTGATGCTGATGTTGATTGTATGTATTTTATATTATCATTGATTAATTGGAATAATTAATAATATTTTATTTTGTTTGTATATGATCTTACAACAGAATTGGACAATAATTATGATAATTCATCTATTACATCTACTCTATCTGAAAGTTCTAATTCATTGATATTTCACATGTAAATTCAAATAAATGATAATATATATAATGAATCAAGTTCTTCATCAGGTCATCATCAAACAATGCAATTGAAAGTTATTGGTTTGAAGCACTGTATGATGAGACTTTTAATGATACTAGTGATGAAAGTGATTTGGATGATGATCCTGAAAAATTAAAAATTCTATTAAAACTAGTGTGCATCCAGCTGATAATAAAGAGGCCAAATGGATCATTTAAACTTGGATCAAAACCCAAATGAGTTCATATTATTAATTTTCAAAAAATACAATATTAGAAATTTATAAAAATAAATAAAATTAAAATCAATTTAGTTTTCATTAACAAATAAAAATAAAATCTATTGGTTCCATTGGTTCCAGTGATCCATTGCTGTTTCCAATGGTTCCAGTTTTTCCAGCTTTTCCAGTGTTCTGTTTGTGTTCCAAAAAAAAAATCACTGGAACACTGGAATTGGAACTGGAAATTTTGTTCCAGTGTTCTAGTTCCAGCAATTTTCCCAACACTGGTTGAAACATATTTTTTGTTGTCTTCCAAACCAAGTATTGTTTTTATGTCTTGTATCACCCGATTCTCTGATTCTTCTCTATCTGGCAGGGTTGGCAAATTGACTGGTCCATTGAGAACAGATGGATTTTGGACTGGTCCATTGCCATTAATAAAATACTAAATATGGTTAAAGTATTACACTAATGGACCCAATGGACCATCAATAGACCATCAATGGATCACACATTTGCCAACCCTGCTATCTGGTACATTACGAATTTGCCAAGGATAGGGGATAAACTCCATTTGATCATCTATTACTTCTAAACCAGACAAAACAAACGTTTTTGCAGATTTACCTTCCACAATTATTAAATCACAATTCTCTTGCCTTTTCCTGCATTTACAGCATCTTCCAACCCAATTACATATTGTGATCTAAGATTGTTTATATATTTAAATATAAAGAAATCAGTTTTTAATCAAGTATTAAACATATTGTGTTGACATTTTTTTAGAAAAACTTGAGTGACAACGAGTGGCAATAACACCACTATTCTTATGATAAACACTTACTCATAAGTATCTTGTATTTCAGCATTTTTTTCTTCTTTTTCGTATTGCGGTTATTTGAGTACGCATTAATTATTTTTAACACTTATAAAAGTACTTAGGATAGATTGTATGGTTTTGGTTTTGATCTACTATTTTTTTTTTTTGTAATAAATTAAATTTGTTGTAAGCATGAGATGAAAAAAATAAAAATTTTTTTTTTTTTTACTCTTTGAAATGATTGACGTTATACATATCGTTAAATAATGATTATTATTTTTACTAATTACTAATTACTAATCATTTTTACTATTCGTTCATCTGATGTTAAAAAAATAGATTTTCCTTACCTTTTTGGTTTTATTTTTTATTTTTTTTTATCTACCACGTCCATCTATCGGAGAGGTTTCTTTTCTTTTGTTTGCTGCGGTTTAACCTTT